ACAAGTGACAGACACTTCAATATGAATTGCTAGACCGTAAGAAAGGAAGTAACAGAGGTCATTCTGTTTTGAACAGTTCAGGTTACGCTCATCCACTGTCCGACTCATTGTTCCAATTAGCAGGGCGGTAAAAGCCTCCCACATCCCTTACTGAAGAGACTAATAAAATTAGCAGGCCCTCCTCAATCTTATCTTTGAATGATAAACAGCCAGCTATTAGATTACAGCTATTAAATTAGAAACAGTCTCTAAACAAACAATTACCTGAATGTAAGTGTGGGATGGATAAAAAGAGGGTAAAACAGAGAGTGGAGAGAGTTTATAGATGCATGCAGACTTTTGAGCATGATGGTTCCATTTACTTGTAAAAAAAAAAGTGTTATGTGTAATGGCTTGAATTAGTTCGATAACATCAGTACATTACAATAACAGAGCAGAACAACCATCAACCTCTCCATTTAAACCCCTTTCCCATCCTTACACATTTTTTACATTTAATGTACTCTAAAAACCTAAATATTTTTGTGGCACATATGCGAGGTCTGGATCTGCATGTATTTAAACAGTTTTTTTTTAACTAATAGATAAATGTAGCACAATTGTGCTAATTATAGTTGATGTTCTAATGACCCAGCTGTCACTCAATACATCTCTTGGGTTACTGTAGCAATGTGAGACCTATTCTACCAATAAGCCTCTGGGTTTTTTTTTCAATCACAACAATAAAGACACAATAGCAACTCATTGACAGAGCCGCCTTTGTGTTGTCTAAAAAGTGTGTCCACATTTTGCTTGTGCATGATTTGGTTTCTCAAAAGTATCAGTATATTCTATAAATCTGTATCTTCTTTCTTTCTTTCTCTGAATATTTTACAAATATTTGACTGTCAACCAATTTATCTTAAATCTATAGCCGGCCTGTTCTCTGCCTGCTCTTTTTTTCTCATTTTTGCCTTTTTTCTTTCCCGGCCTACACAGCTCTATCCATGACTCTTTGTGTACATGTTTCATCTTAACTTTCTCACTGGCTTCATGTTTATTTGTTGTCCATCATGTTTATTTATCCTTTTTTTTGTTTTTTAACAAATTTGCTTTCTGTATTCTTCTGGCACAAACTTTCCATAGAGGTTTGCTAAAATTTGACTTTGATTTTGCTCATGAATTTGGTCATTGACTGAATTCTGTTCCACATCAATTTGATTAAAGTGCTATTTATTATATATGTAGCTTGATATAATGTAATAATTTTTGTTTAAAATGTATTTCATTAGACATGTAAACTTTTGCAGTTTTAGCTTATTTTATTGAGATAGAATACATTCTATGTTGATTTCAAGCCTTCAATATGTTATAATTTGATCATAGCCTCTTGATTTAATGAGTATGTCTGTATTTACTGTTATTGAGCCAGATAACTTGTAACAGTGTATTTAGACTCAGTCCCCTCCTGCCTCCGGCCTACTTTCCTGCCTCTAAGGTTTCTCTCAGGACAAAACCACTAGGACAGGGAAAATAAAAGAGTGGAGAAAGAGAGGAGGGAAAGAGAAGTAAGCAGATCTGTTACCCTGTTCCAGGAGGATGGCAGTAATACACATACACACTCTCACACAAACCACCTCACACCACACAAACTGTCCCTGGAGAGGGGAACTGAGCACTCACAGTTGGTTTGTCATTTAAAATAAGTGATTGTTCTAAGACAGAGGATGAATTAATTTACCTGCTATACAGGAAGATCAGGAGAAGAAAAGACAGACTGAAAGGGGTTGACTGTGGCTTGGCCTGTTATATCGGAGGGTTCTGTTGTGTCCCAGTTTTCAACACAATGTTCGCAAACAGCTACATCTGTTAGGTCAGATTGACAAATATCTATAAAGTAAAATAATGTACTATATACACACTAGTGTTCAAAAGATCAGGGTTATTAAGATTTGGTAAGATATTTTTTGAAAGAGGTCTCTTTTTTTAACCATGGTCACATTTATTTGATCAAAACATTGTGAATATTATTACTATTTTAAAATGACTTTTTTCTATTTTAATATATTTTAAAATATAATTTATTCCTATGATGGCAGCGCTGAATTTTGATTGAGTGATAAGATACAGAAAGACAGATGAAAGAGCGATAGTGTTACAATACAACTGAAGAATCAGAGATACAATCTCTTTTAGATTTAACCTCATATCCCATGGGTATTTACTCTGGCCTATAAAAAATAATAATATAAACCTTGCATTAGAAACACTCTAAAAAGTGAAGACATGTACAAATAAATTTTTTTTAAATTGAATGAGAGAATTCGATTAGATCTGTTAAACTGTAGCATCTAATTTGATCATTATAATAATAATTAGATTAGATTTTGATTAAGATTGATCAGATCAATTGATAAGTACATAAAACATAAAAAGTACATAATTTTTAGACATTATCTATAGATTTACTTTATATATAAAATGCATGATCTATAAATCAATGCAACTTTTAATACATATACATGTTCTCCATACTTATTTTTTACTTACAAAATTGTAAGAATGATTTATTTGATTTCACTTCTTGTCACGGTTTCAGTTCAGTTTGGACTTTGTTTTCGTTTGCACCATTCCCCTGTCTGCATTTGTCACTATGGGTACTGATTTGATTTGCTATCATGTTCAGCTGTGTCACCTCGTTAGCCTGTGTATTTAAGTTCCTGTGTTTTCAGTTCTTTTGGTCTGGTCTGGTCTCGTTGATGGTTTTTAACTGTTGCATCAATGTTTACCTGTGTGTTGGATTAAAGACTTTCTAAACTTTCATCTTCATGTATTTGTTTACACAGTTAGCATGACAGAAGACTGGACCACTACAAATGGACTATGCGGCTAAATTCGCTGCTGTGGCTCAAATGAGCCACAATTTATTAGACTATTTTGAAGGGTTTTGTCGTCTCCTCATCAACACACCATTTGACGACGAGACCCTGAAATCATTGCTCTGGATCGGGGCGAATTACCATCATTCGTATGAGACATCACTCCCAGACACCACAGGACTTGTCAGGAAGGAGGCCATCATTAGGTGTTTGGAGAGCATCTTTCCCCGATCCAGTGCATCGCCAGTCCCAGAGCCCAGCTTCACGGAGCGTCTGTCTGAGCCCACCGTGACTGAAAAGCTAATGCGAGAAGAAGCAACTGAGCCTGCCATCGCCCTGGAGCCTGAGGCGATTGACCAGGTGTGAGCTGGCAACACTGCAAGTGCCTGAGAGAGTATTAGTGGAGTACGAAGGGATGGAAAAAAAGCCCCGCCCATACTCCCGCTGCTGAGGGTGAGCTATAACTGGCCTCTAGAAGCATTTTGGATAATGTAGAAGTGGATAATTTCATGTATTGCCTTGTATGATCTGTCTTCCCGCTGGTTCTGTCCAGCCCTGATTCTCCTAACTCTCCTGTGTTCCCTCCCAGCCTTCCTCCCCCGCCTCATCTATATATCTGCCAGTTCTGCTGCCCTGTCTCCGCTGGTTCCTGTAAGCCCCTCAGCCCCCCCTTAGTCAGCATCATCCTGGAGCCTTGTCTCACTTCGGGGCTTCCAGTCTCCAGCTCTGCCTTGGCATAAGGATCCCCTGTCTCCACCTCCAGCCTCCGAGTCCTGGACTCTACCTTAGCCCTTCGACCCATCGGCTTCACCTTGGCTCCTAGCTCCCTCATCTCCACTGTGGCCCATTGCCCCTCCGGCTCCGCCTTGGTCAGTCGATGACCCTCCTTCGCTATGGGATTCCACTCCTCCAGCTTTGCCTCGTCTCTCCATCCCTCTAGCTCTGTCGGGGCTCCTCCTTGGTCCTCAGTCGCTCCGGCTCCGCTGCAGTCTTCCGGATCCCTGCTTCCACCTCTTCGGCTCTCCGTCTCTGCCCTGGGCGGCTCCTCCATCGGCGTTGTCTATGTCAGTCGGCCCCCTGGTGTCATCAGCCTTAACAACTCCATGGCTCCTCACTCCGTTGACTCCACCGTTGGCCTCAGTCCTGGGTGGACTCTGGAGTGCCACCTGGCCCCTCCGGCTCCGGGATTCTCCTTGGCTCCTCCCATCTACATCCCGGATTCCCGTCCTCCACCGAAGCCTCCATCCATCTTCCGGCGTGATGTTGCGCCTTTCCGGGTGGGGGGCATACTGTCACGGTTTCAGTTCAGTTTGGACTATTTTTATTTGCACCATTCCCCTGTCTGCATTTGTCACTATGGTTACTGATTTGATTTGCTATCATGTTCAGCTGTGTCACCTTGTTAGAATGTGTATTTAATTCCTGTGTTTTCAGTTCTTGTCTGTTACTTCAGTGTTGAGTTAATGTTTACGTGTGTGTGTTGGATTTAAAGACTTTCTAAACCTTCATCTTTGTGCTTTTGTTTACATAGTTAGCATAACACTTGTCTTGTTTAATGTAGGTGCAGTCAGTGTAGTGACTTAGTTCATATAATCAAACCGTATAGCTTCTGGTCGTGTCGTTGTATTGCACCATCCCAACCATGTGGATTTTTTTTAATATTCAAAAATGTACAATGTCCTGAATTGCAGTTTAGGGAAGTGATTTCAAACAAGATGCCTGAGCTATTGGAAAGCTGCATACATATTGGAATCTAAGCACCAGACATAATGTACAAATGATACAGTAGCAGGGACAGTAATGACAAAAGGCTCGTCTTTTCCAGGTCTCCTAAAAACAAACCCTGAAGACCTTCTCTGCTCTTTCACTTTTATCTCCTCTCTCCATTTCCTCTTGTCTCTCTAGAGTCCTGCTCTTCATTCACTGCTTCAGTCCAGTCAGCATGTTGATAAGTGTTTGCAAGCGCACTGGAGTGTAAGGCCACACGTGTCTTTTGGATTGTTTATATATGTTTGTAACATCTCAATTTGATAATGTTTTTGCAAATAAGGCAAGAACTCACATAAAAAACACTGTTTAAATCATTTATTAACTAAAATTTAAAATAAGCACACAGTAAAAAGTGTTTTGAGTGTTACATGTATTAATGCATGTGTGTACAGAAAAGATGAATTGATAATATTGATGTTGTTACTAGTTCATATAAAGCTTGAAAATAAGAACAAAGAAAAAAGAAATTAGAAAAAAAGAAATATAGTTATATAATGACAAATGGTTTAGGGACAGGTTCATATTATGTTTTTTAAAATGCAGGGCTTCTTCTACTTCACAGTTGCATAAGGTGCAGTGCTATAGATGACATAAACAGGCATAAACGTTTTGGAATTGTGTTTATATTTGAACAAATAGGGGATATTAATTAATGATAAGCTGTTAAACTCTCAGTGTACTACAGTCAGATTCTGGGTTGGTTTAAATCACATTTAAGAAAAACACAAAATAAAGTGCAACTTTTTAAATCAAGAATGAGTAGAATTTTGATTTGCATAATGAACATTTGAGCCCGAAACATTAATAAAATGTCCTTGACCTGAACATTAAAACTGAAGAATACAGTTAATGTGTTCATTAAGTAAGGTATATTCTACAAGTGTCTCTCAGCCTATAGCAGTGACTAAGCTGCTGTGATTGAATGCGGGATGTAATTGGATTGGTTGGGTCATATTGAAGGGGTGGGGCATGTTGGCCATGTGGCTGAAGGTGGATGCTTTCTCATGCACACAACTGTCAAATTGCTGAAAATGTTCTCCTCTCCTCTTCTTAGGTTTGCCTGACATTTTCCTATTGCGTGTCTGTATCCCATCTTTCTTCATAGTAAGTGGACGGTTCACCTGAATGCACAAACAGATAAAAACACTGTAAGCCATTTATATAATAATTATTGTATTTAATGTTTTAAATAGTAGGAGGATGGACTGCAAGCATATTCAACATTAAAAAAATTTTATGATCATTTTTAATGCAAACAATGGATACATTATGGAGACCCCTTACAAGTGGAAATTCAACATGTATGTAAGCAGAAATGTTATTCTGTCATTCATTTTGGTGTAGTCTGTATATAGGAAGTGTTACGGTAAGGCTAGACATAAACATTTACTCACATTGTGTAGTTTGTAGTATAGACCACAGGCATTACAGACAGGTTCTCCATTGGCATTACGTCTCCAAAGTGTGGTGGTCCCTGTCTGGCAGTTGGCACAACAGGTGCCTGCTCGTCTAGATGCTGACTGCAACATAAAAAAACACATAAAAAGAAATATGAAAACACATGGTTGATGGGAAGTAACTGAGCAATGAGGAAAAAATAAAGCTTGTGAATGAAAATATGGTTGAACAGGAAAGAAAATAAAATAAAATACAAATACAGCCTGAAGCTATGCAAAATTTGGTCGCTCTGGCATTAAAGGTGAAATTACAGTTCTGATACTGTAAAAGTTTATAATATTTGTCTAATGAAATATTGACATTAAAAAAAGATTTTCTGTCTGTGAAATTATACATATGATATTATAAAATTATACAATAACATTTAAGATTTATATATATATATATATATATAAATGTTATTAATTATTTCATAAATGTATATTTTTCTCCTGTGCAAAATCTTATTGCACATTATGAACATTAAAACATAATGAAAGACCCTATAGCAATAATAGGAAGATTGCTGGTCCAAATCCTGTGTGGAATGTCAGAAAATGTAGACAAGCATACCGCTCTGTCCTGTACTTTTGGACATATACTGGACCACAGAGATGCACAGAAAATGTTCTCTTATAATATGACAACATTACATTAATGTTACTAACACAGCTGACAAACCAATACAATGGCATTTTAAGATATCTTTGTATTGGTCTGTCTTGAGAGTATTCTTTTTTCAAGACTCTATGAGCCATTTTAACAAACTGCATGCAGCCTTGTGTTATACAGTAAGAGAAGTAAGAGTATAGCCTATTGCTTAAGTATTATAAAAATATTCTTTTTAATTAATTTACTTTAACTTGTCTCTCAAACTCACATGTCAAATAGAAGTATGCCCTCAAACACCATAAATTCACATAACTATACAGATATAGTAGATTCTCAACATGCCAAAAGAAAATACAGCAAGAAAACAACCGGAAAAGGAAGCATTTTGGGTCTCACAAAATTATCGGTACCAAGCAGACATCCTGCCAAGGAAACAAATGGATCGAGCTGTCTCTGCAGGTGCTCTTCAGATATACGACCTGTAGCTGATGCAGAAGCACTCGTCACACACTGACTAAAGAATAAGACCTGAAGCTAGTCAGCCTAATTTATAGCTAATACTCTCTAAATGGAGGGTCACACAAAATACACAGATGCAGTCACTTTCAAGTTGATTTATTACATTTCCCTCCAGTGACAGCAGTTCTGCAGCTGCCCTGTGCTTAACCATCACACTGCACTTTCATGAATATGAAATTGCGATCAGTGTCCACTTATTTATAAAATCCTGAAAATTTTCATCTTATATTTAAAATTCTGAAATTATTCAGCATAAACATATATTTGGTGGAGAGGAATTAATAACATTACAATCATGGAATACATCAAATAAGGTAAAATGATAGGTGGATGCCTGGAAAGAAGTATCTGATTTCTGGTCAACTTTACACTTGACATGTTAATGAATTCTAATTCATTACTTGCTATTTAAACCCTTCAATAGGGCCATGGAAACTCAGTGGTCCATTACACACACCCAGACACATGCCTTTCACTCTTTTTCTGTCCTTCTCACTCCATTGTCTGTACACATTCTCTGTCGGTGCATGTAATTCTATTATGTGCCTCGAGGATTGGCCTCTATTCTCAACGTAGGACACATCAGCAGCAACTGTGACGAGATCTGTCGTGTTGACAGCTTAGACTAAGATGTAATGCAGCAGACATCATACATTACATGGGCACAATATTATAGAATGATATACTGTACTACATGTATATCATGTATACTACTTTGTGAAATACTACAACATATAACAGTTTTTCCTTAAGTGTTAATACTGTCTAGAGCTCCACATACATCAACTGTTTATTTTTCATTAACATTTAGACAATGACTGAAAAAAATGATTTCTTCTCTCTCTCTCTCTATATATATATATATATACACGTTGTCATTGCCAAAATACAATGTAAAGTGTTTTGTCAGATAGATTCTATAGCTCAAACTTTGAAATGTGTTTCTGTAAGGGTGTGTATACGTATGTATATGGCACTTACCAGTCGGCGCTTGGGTCTGATGAGTGGTCGGTTCTGGCCGTTCATTTTGTGATAGAGTCCACATGCATTACACAGATAATGACCTGTTCCATCTCTCCGCCACAGAGGAGTTGATGTAGCTCCACAGTTCACACATTCACGCCCTTCCGGCACACATTATGCACAGAGATGCACAAAATGAGGTGGAAATAAAAAAAAAAGTTAAAAAATAAATAAAACAAAACTATGTAAACAACTTATTCATGCTGACTATATTTATTATGCGCAGAGATAGACAGATAATCAGATAAATAGACATTTGTTTTACGGATATTCACACTTTCATACTTTTGGGATATCGGTCTTCCAACTGTGTCTACCAGTAAGTGCCGTCATTTGATGGGTATCTAATAAATAGCACCCAACAGGAAGCAACAATATTCAAAGGTAAAACATACACTGACTTCGTAAATTAAAAGTTATTTATGACTTGTTACATTACAATCATTCCTTGTCAAGTGTGTTAAACTGAACCATTAGACATGGCCCAAAACAGCCCTAAATAAATACAATACTACATTATTATTATTTATGCCATTCTAAATAATAAAAATACTAATAATGCAAATTATGTTTTTTGACTAATTATTAAGTATTACTGTGCCAAAAAGCCAAAATAAAACGAATTAAAAATAATTCTGAATATATGTTATTAAATATAAAAATAATCTATCTATATCTATATAAAAGTAATCTGTGTAGTCGGATTACTTATTCAGATTATCTTTAGATAATAATATTGAATATTATATATTACAATAAGTGCATTTTCCTTTATTTCAGTCCAGATGCATAAACTGTGCCTACTGCAACAAAGTTGTGGCAACACATTACAGAGTCCATGTTACACGTATATTGCAATACCAATGGGTATTTATCTGCTCCATAAAATAATTATATAGTAGAACATGTTATTATTCGCTACATAGGCTAATGAAATTATAGCCTACTATTACATGAAAACTATGTTTGGTTAATTTACCGGATGTTTAAAGCTAGACAATTAACCTGTTGTAAGTTCTACTGTTAATATGAATTATGAACTCTGAACTTGCCTGAGAAAGCGCGGCTTTTGCTTTTGCATTTTGACATCATGTTGCTCGCGTTGCTCCCAAGCAGATTTCTGGAATGAAACACACTGCCTGGGTACTCGTGCGCTCCAGATAGTGCGTACTCAGGATATGAAGGTACATGAGTTGTAGTTTGTGCCAGATTGCCACGGATTGGACTGGAGCACTCCATCTTCATCCCGTCGACAAGATGGAGATGGTACTTCCCAGCGTCCCTCACCGCAGCACAAGCAGGGTCAGGGGACGCATCTTTGGGTGGAGTAGGTGGCAGGCAGTAGAGCTGAGGGCTGCAGTGTTGCGTCATTGACAGGCACGGCATCGAACCTGGGCCATGCGTACCGGTGCCCGTGTACAGGCTGTTAGAGCTTTCGGCGCCTGCTGAATGTAGAACCGCTTTGCCCAGGTGGCTGACGGTCCATGTGCCGTGGTGCTGGGTCGCCGGTAAGGTCGATTTGCTGTTGTCCAGTATAGAAAGACCTTGAGTGTGAATAAGGTGAGGTCGACACATTGAGCCACCCGTAAACCGTGCTGCCAAAAAGAAAAGGCCGGATTTTTCAGTGGAGAAGCGAACAGATTACTATCAATTGGAATTATTATTAACATCTCAGAATATTTTTAATAGGCCTACATTACTTATTTTTAATCTATCATAATATTTTCCAGCATATTTTCCCTCAAAGTTAGATCTTATTTTAACTTCCGCGAAACGACATTTTAACTTCGTTAAAACATTAAAACATAAATCTAATCTAATACAATCTATTAATATAATACAATATAATATAACCATTTTAAATGTAAAATATACAAATAATATTCTTTGTAAATTTGTTTAGTTTGTAATAGGCTATTTGTAAATACACTCAGCACAATTACAATGAGAAAACAGTATGCGTAACCTCAAACTCCAGCCCATTTTTTAAGAGTCGTCAAACTGAATTCGAACTTGTGTTCATTGAAATTGATATCACATAATTACACAATAACATTATGTATAGTATAATAAGAGCAATAAAATATTATATTGGCAGGAGAGAAGCATCTATAAAATCACCTCGCAGATGGATCTGATAATGGTGACAAATTAAATCTGTTTGACACTAAAGGCTAGGCTACATTCAGTAATGTGACCCAATAAATATGACCGATAGTTTTAGAAAAAAAAAAAGAAGTGTTACAGTAAAAAGCATTTCCTTCAATCTCAAAATTGTGCCAAAATATAACACTGACCAAAAAAAAAGAGCTCCAGGCCTACTCACCATGCGTTTGACTGTAAGACATTCGTGCACGAGTATGAGAATGGGACCCGTGTGTGTGATAATAGGGGTTTCCTTGAGAGTCCAAATGACTGAGAAATACATCCACCTCGTCTGGTGGCAATAATGGGGTACCTGGCTCCATATATCCCGAACTATGATGTCCTAAACCAGCGTGCGGAGACACCGAATCTGAGGTACCCATTAAAGCTGAATGATGAGCATGCATCATCCACCGGGGTTCCGCAGGGAGCGCCATCATCTGTAGAAGTTTTCCCGTAAGACAGGAATGCAAATTTTCGTGTGCGGTTAAAAAACAAAAAACAAAACAAAAACCTTAACCTCATCCAGCGCGTGTTTTTCCCAAGTGTTGTTTTCTCGAATGTCTTAAATATAAGTCTAAATGATTGAGTACACCTATGACAGCGTAAGCTTAAATGACTATATAATAAAATCAGAGTTGGCGCGTCTGTCGTGTGTGACAGGAGCGTTTAAAGTCGCCGGCAGCGGTGTGACACTTCCCCACTTTCAAGGGGCTGCGCGCGAGCGGTGCCCTCACACATAGAGATCTCGCGCGTGCAAATACCGCAGAAATGCCACTACAGCTGATTACCTCAGCTATATGTGTTGGTGTACACTGAGGTAGATCCGCAGATAATGTTCGAAACCAAATCCTATGCGTTGGGAGAAAAGCAGAGGTTGAAGCAGAGTCCAAGAAGAGTAACCGACCTTCTTATCTCCTCACTCCAGGACACGCGCCTACGGTTCAAAAGATACTCGTGCCTACGAGGATAAGTGTCAGGATGATCGCCACAGGTAGTCACACTAGCGACTAGTCAAAAACCAGTGTGCAAAAGAGTTGTATATGAGGCAGAGGCCGAGAGCGGACTCCTCCCGTCAGCATAAATGATTTTCTAGCCAATTAGAGTTCGCCTTTTTTCCAGCTTGACACCTGAAACGAATGCATCTCTTTATCCATTCGTTTCGAGATGGTCCTCACTGCAGAAACAAGATCCAGGGGGCGTGGTTGGATCCAGATCCAACTACTCCCCCCTTATACCTAAACCTACCCGTCTCCACCCCCTGATCCCTAAACCCACCCATCTCCACCCTTAAACATACTAATCTCCACCCCCTAGCTGTGGATCCAACCACGCCCCCTGGATCTTGTTCTGCAGTGAGGGCTACTGTTCGTTTCGCTGCAGGTCTGCGCTGCTAGTAGTTATTCCACATTTCACACAGCAGCATCCTGTAGCTTCGTGCGAATGGAGAATTGATTGTTAACACTTTCAGAAAACGCTGCATGTTTACACTACGAAAAAAAAATGATTTGTACACATTTATAATATTTATATAAAATTAATATTTAAATTTAGATTTAAACCCTAAAAACTATATATCAAATAATACAGCCCGTATAGTGCTGGCTTTGAAATTGATTTAAGAAAATTAAATCGAAGTTTATTAAACTGATATTATTAAAGTAGCACCTGAATAAACCTGCATGCTCCAGGTGAGGTGAGTATTCTTTTTTTTTCCCCTCTACGAAGCAATACAACGTCCTCCATCGACTTCTCCCGATCTTTAATTATTCAGGGAATAAGTTTCTGGCCAGCGCGCACGTATTGTCTGTCTCGGCAGATACGTCTCGTGCGCGGTCAATGACAACACGAAACCGCTGACCACCTACCCTGACTCTCATAAGATCTTTCCATCACTTTGAAGAGAGAGCGAGAGAGCGAATGGGAGTCAGGCAAGGTAAATGAGAGAGAGAGAGAGAGAGAGAGAGAGATGACATTGCTTCATAGCGCCGGCCGCTGCCATTCAAAAATAGACAACTGTCGTTTTGCAGGTTTTACGTAAATCGATCTGTGAAATGAAAAGCTTGTGTGTTATATTTTTATGTTATATACTTGATTAAAATGTTTAAATAAACAAAAAAATCTGCTGATTTAGATATTTGTTATTTCTGTCATGTAACATTCATTCACATCACACATTCAATTATAAACCAGACCCTCGATGTCTGAAATTATACTTTCGTTCTTATGTAGCCTATATTTCCACCATGATCAAAAAGTGACTGAAATTCAAATTCCATTTTACAACTTGGTTTGGAAGTTGGTTTAAAATCCTTCCTCTCCTGCTTCAGTTTTTTTGTAAGCAATCAAAAGGCTTGTAAATGCTGTTCAAGAGGGTAAAAAGCAGCATTGATAATTTCCAGTATACATTTTATATATAATGGAGTCAGCTCACTATGATGACCAAGTGCTCTATTGTGCAATCCTTGTTGTTGTGCTCCTGCATCTGATGGATCATCTGCTCAAGTTTAAACAAATCTTAAGATTTCATAAAACCTGTATGATAAACATTTTAACCTGGAACTCTCTCTTATTGCCTCTGGCTTCCTCTCTCTCTCTCTCTCTCTCTCTCTCTCTCTCCACTTGACAGCATAGCTCAACAATGTAGCCCATGATCCCTTAATTGCCCGTTCGTTTCCTCCATAAAAGAGAATCAGGAAGGCAGTATTAACAACATATTGTAACAATCTGTCAGTCATCTTTTCCCTTTCTCAGGCAAAAGACCAGAACGGAATATTAAACTGCCCACAATATATCCACCTTAACAGTTATTACCAGTTCTGATTACCTGATGAGATTATGAGTGTTTTTGTTTTTTAAGGCCAGACTTGTATGTCAATTTTTTGTTTTACAAATAACACCTGCTTTGTTTATACTTTTTTTATTCTGTGAAGAAAAAATATTAATATTACACCGACTTTTTATGAAGCCAGATTTACTGATATATAATCAGATTACAGTTATTTAAGGACTTTTTTTATTATAAAATAATTCTTCTATTATAATTATTTACCTTTTTGACACAGTTCTGAAATTAATGATGTCTGAAACCATACTTTCGTCCTGATTTGGACAATGTGCAAATCACAAGGACTTTTATTGTGTGTGTGTGTGTGTGTGTGTGTGTGTGTGTGTCTACATTTGGTGTATCTGTTTGTGAATGTCAGTGAACGTGTGTGAAGATGTTGTAGTGTGAATAACCCTCTCCCCCTCCCATACCCAGAATGCCTTGCAGGCCTGGTTTTCACCACATCAGGATACAGGCCTGCTGGCTGAATTCCGGTATGAAACGGAGCGCTGGTGCACCGCAATCTGTGTGTCCTACACATGCACATCCCTCTTCAGGAAGATGGACAGGTGCTGTAACGGACACTTGCTTTTACTCACGTGTAACATTCATTAAGTGCAACCAATTAATTTCATGTCACACACACACAAACTTTATAGTTACTGATCCACTTTGTGCAGACAATTACCAAAACAACATCACACATATATATATTTTTTTAATGCATTTAGCAGACGCTTTTATCCAAAGCGACTTACAGTGCATTCATTCTATACATTTTCTACCAGTATGTGTTCCCTGGGAATTGAACCCATGACCTTTGCGCTGCTAACGCAATACTCTACCACTGAGCCACAGGAACATTAAAGCTGATGCTTCAAATTTCAGCCAGGACATTTTCAAAATTAGCATACTTCAGTCTTAAATTATTAATTGTGAAGATGCTAAGAATGTATGCCTGTATAAAATCTTTTAGAGATGGTGTCAGGTGTATTTTGTTATGCTAGCAAGTTAGTAGTTCACCCTAATGGACCACTGAAGGTGAATTAGCCAAAGCTAGATTCCAGCATCTTTTTAATCATAGTTGGGAAGTCCTAGCATGGAGTTTCCTGTTCGTATCATGTGTCCATGGGCAAGTTACTAGATATTTCAAAATTGATGTCACATTGCAACTTTATTCTGACATTCAGTTGAATGTTTATACCCTTAAATCAGTATGAAAATAGGTCTCTCTGGTTAAATGAGATTTCTAAAAATTGAAAAGTGACAGTTTACAAGATCACAAGCAAAGTCACTGCTATCCATTAGTGTAGTGCCATATTAAATAAATGTATGCGTGTGTTTTGGTTGTGTAAGTGCATGGCAGTAGGACAAAATTAATATGAAAGAAAAGAGTAAGCTAAAAAAAAAAAGTGTTTTAGTGAGTGATGGGGACAAGAGCGACTCAAATCTTGGATCTCAGGCTATATTTTTATTCATAATTGCATTAGGTGATACTCAGCAGTTGTTCCCCTGTCCCCATTATGTTAAGCCATAATGGACTTCTATTAAGAATCTACTGAGATGGCACTAAGCATCTTTAGTATGCTTCAATCAACACATAAGGGCTGGAGATCAGAATTTCAGTAATTTTTAACTCAAAGCCGCCATCTTCTGGACATTTTCGGCTTTCTGAATCATGGCGCTTCATTGAACCAAGACAACATGCAGCCTCCCGATTACTTCAGGCCCTGCTTTCCAATTAGTCTGCCTGATTAGCATGAATAATGACAAATATAGATATATGTCATCTTATCTAGATGATAAAAAAATACAATATATCAACAATTACATCACATTAAGTAGCTTTTCAACTTTATAAAAAGGTCTGCTTCTGATACAAATAGCTTGATGTTGAAATTTCCTTGGGGACAAATGCACACTTTGTTTTCATTACTATGTGCAGTGTGCAAAAACGTGTGGTAAGAGAGTAAGTGTATGCGTGCATGAGTGTTTTCAGCTTTAAGGGGATGTGCTGGGTAACTGTTGCCCGCTTTGGGTTTCCGGACTGTGTGCCTGCAGACTGTTAGTTCCCCCTCTCCCTCTCCCTTTATCTCTCTCCCCATCACTCCTTTTATCTCCTTATCATACCAGCCAGGCACTCAGCCAGGATACTGTGGTAACAGCCGAGCTGGCTTCTGCTTCACCATAGTGATCTTGTTGGTGGAAACGAGAAGAGCAGAGAAGCCTTCATTGTGAGTAACTATGTATATTTGTTCTTGATCCACTTGATTCATTCACCAGCTAAACAAGCAAGGTGACATATGATGGACTGACTATCCACAAATAAGAGGCCTGTACTAAAGCCATCCACATTTGTGGGTGAACATCAAATCCTCGTGGTCTGTACATACTTAAAAATATGCCATTATAAAGTTTTATTTCTATTTTATATGATACAGACCGTCGAGAGCAAAAACATCCCCAAACCCCTGTGCAAAATGATTTTCTGATGTCCCATGTTCTCTGTGTTCTGTAGACACAGGCCTGACAAAACTCATGCAACTGTATGGACGAAAAACTACAGTGTGCTGCAGCATGACTTGGTGTGTTTGAATGTGTATGTTAGTGAGT